TGCTTCTCTCTCTCCCACTCCCCCTGCTTGTGTTCCCTCTCTCGCTGTGTCTCTCTCTGTCAAATAAATAAATAAAGTCTTTAAAAAAAAAAAAAGAAGTGAGAAGGGGAAGAAGCACCTAGCTTGGAGAGGAAGACAGGCGCACAAGCCAGAGATTCCGCGGGCAAATAAACCAGTATTTCTGTGCTTTACACAGGAAACGCGCTGGAGGCAGGGCCCCTCCCCCCTCACTAGGCTCACCTCCAGCCCTGCTCTCAGCAATCCCACATGTGCCAGCTCCCTGCAAGTGACAACTTTCCGGGCCCTAGGCCCCTGCAACCTTGAATGGAGAGCACATTCCAGAAATGGGGCAGGACTGAGAAGGGAGCTGGAAGGGGGCTCTGCTTATGGGCTCTGGGAACCCAGTTCTCATGACCCCTGTCCACATGGGCTCAAGTGTTCCCTTCCGAACACGAGCCTCACGTTTGCGCCTCATCCAGTAATGCAGTGGTAATGGTTACCCAGCTCGGTGTTGGGTGCTGTGCTCCATGATCTTACTTAAGGTTCCTGACAGTCCCGAGAGCTAGTTGTGATTATCCTCTCATTATCTACAGGGACGCAGAAGCGACTTCTCCGAAGTCACACAGCTTGACGGGAGCAGAGTCAGGGTGCAAATCCAGGGCTTCTCTGAACAAGGGTGGTGACATTTTTTCCCCCTCAAACAGCTTTATTGAGATAGAATTCACATACCAGAAGTTCATCCACTTAAAGTGTACAATTCAACGGCTTCTGGTATGTTCACAGAGTTGCGCAACTAGCACACAATTGACTTTAGAACATTTTCTTTATCCCCCAAATAAACCCCACATTCCTTGGCCAAAAGACAGAGATCTTTCAATGACACAACAGCCACCGGCTGAGTGTGTGTCTGTGTGTGTGTGTGTCAGGGTCACACAGCATCTTTATTCAGTGTGTGGTCTGCTCCCCATTACTTGCCACATGGCTTTGGGCAAATTCTCTGTCTGCTCTGAGTCTGATCTTTGTAATAATAACTCCACAGGATATTCAATGAGACAGCTAAACAAAGGTGCCCTGCAGGACCTGGGACTCAATACCCATCTGCGCAGTGCTAATGCCCTCCCCCATCCCTGTTTCTTCGTGCTTCTCATAGTTTCGGTCTCTGTACTCATATCTCCTTAATGAGGGGGCTGCTTCCCCTGGCCGAAGAGGCCTTGGAAGCCCCCTTAAAAACATGTGTTGGCAGAGAATGAATAAATCCTAGAGACCTAGAACTAAGGAGTTCTCGTGTATGTGATGTACCCTCACTTGATCCAGCAATGCCTCTTCCGGAAGCTACCTTACAGAGAGGGCATGTCCAAAGACATGGCTTCAAGAGCCTGCTCATCACTGTGTGGTTTATATTAATGAAATACTGGAAAGGATTGCAAAGTCCCCAACAGTTATAAACTTATTCATTAAATTAAGAATACATCATTTAAAAAGATGGTACAGATAAATATTTATCGATGTTTAAAAGGAAAGAATTTCATCATAGATCATCGGTAAGGAGGAATAAGGCAGACTATAAAATCATATGATCCAGTTTTAGTTTTTAAAACATTATTTATATGGATATTATGTATAGAAATCACCTGGTAAGGATATACATAAAAATATTAATAATTATTGACTCTGGGTAGTAGAATTGCATGAGATTTTTTTTTAAGATTTTGTTTATTTGAGAGAGAGAGAGAGCACACATGAGTAGGGGGAGGGGCAGAGGGAGAAGCGGGCTCCCTGCTCAGGGAGCCCGATGCGGGGCTCAATCCCAGAGCCCTGAGATCATGACCTGAGCCGAAGGCAGACGCTTAACCGACTGAGCCACCCAGGCACCCTGGCATGTGATTTTTAATTTTGAAACATTTTGCTTCATCTGATCAATTTTTACAATGATTGGATGTCACTGTTATAAATAGAAAAAAGGATTCTTTCCATTTTGAAGAGGCAAGTAAACATCTTGATTTGACCCCTAGATTCTGCACTGGTTGCCTTGTAGACCCTCCATCTTCTTCATTCTGGATCACACAGAGCCTTGGGATGGGAAGAAAAGTGAACTTCCACATGCGGATATACTAGGGCAAAAATGAAATCTGATGGGAAAGTTCATGGAGAAGATACGTTGTCTGGGAGGCAAGGAGGGAGGGAGTCATTGAAAAAGAAGCCATCTGGCTGCATAAGGAATGGAGAGAGATTGAGAGAGAAAGGTGGTAAACCTGGGGAAAGAGAGTAAGGGTGAGATTGAGAACAGAAGAGAAGAAAAAGGAGGAGGTCACGCTAGCTAAGAAGTGGTGGAGTTAGGATTTCCACTGGCCCCATCTGAAGCCAAGGGCTTTGTCTTTCATGCCACAGCCTTGGCATATTATGGTGTCATAAAAAGAGAGGCAGGGAGTTTACGATTAGGAATGTAACAACGACCACCAATAACGTCAGTACCTAACGATGTGCCCAGGGCCCTGTCACAGGTTGTCCCCATTACGACAGGTGGGGCATGTCTTTCTTATCTGTCTCTTACAGATGAGGTCCAGTGAGGCACAGTGAGGGGCCGAGCAGCTTTGGGTGAGGAAAGGGGCTGGTGCCCACTCACCCCAGAGCTTGAGTTGCATGCCCGGCCCTCTGCTCCCAGGACCTGGTGGATGGGTGGGGGTGGGGTTTGTTTGTGACCAAGGTCCCAGGCCACACATGGAACGATGCCTCCAGGGCAGGGTTCCTGGCTGCTTTGAAGCACTGCTCCCCCCTCAGTCTTGTGGGGATCAGGACATGTTAACCGTCTTACCCATGCTACTGAACTTGGACTTGGAAGAGTGGGCTCCTCCCCTGATCTGTCATTTATTAGTGGATGCCCTTAGTCCACCATTTAACCTCAGGTCTTGGGTATGTCCTCTGTAAATGGCAAGAAAATATCAACCTCTTCTGTTTGTTAGGATTAAATGATATCATGTATGTGAAAACATTTTAAGGTATAAAATAGCACATAAACTCTTTATATATATATATATTTTTTTTACTCATGTAATATAGCTATGAACTTCACAGAAAAAATTTTGTGCTGAATGTGCTGTATAAAAAAAAAAGAAAATAAAATAAAAGATTTTCAAAAATAGCTAGTGGTCTTGGAAATTGTTCCCTGGTCCCAAACTAACTCCATTCCGCCCCTATTAATGTCTATTAAAATCAGAAAATTAGGGCACCTGGGTGGTTCAGTTGGTTAAGCGACTGCCTTCGGCTCAGGTCATGATCCTGGAGTCCCAGGATCAAGTCCCACATTGGGCTCCCTGCTCAGGAGGGAGACTGCTTCTCCCTCTGACCCTCCCCGCCTCATGCTTTCTCTCTCTCAAATAAATAAATAAAATATTTTCTAAAAAATCAGAAAATTGGCTAATATGAATTGGATTTTTTTTTTTTCCAGAGGAGGTTTCACTACCTATGATGTTCTGGAGTTGTACCAGCAGAAACGTGACCTGTGAGATAAAGAGTGGAACGGACCCTGAATTAATGCTGTATCTAGATAACACAGTATTAGATAATGCTTCATCTAAAACTATTTCTCGGACAATTGCCAGAAACAAGTGGACAACCAAACGGAGTATGTCATTCAACTGCACAGCAAAGAACCGAGTCAGTAAGCAAAACAGAGGGGTAACCATCAATTGTTCAGGTGCGTGGCAAGCGCTGGTCAGACATCCGGGGCTTAGTTCGCAAACACAGCCTGCCAGGTCCAGGGCAGAGATTCACTCCAGCACCTGGGTCCCGGGGCTAGGAGGCAGCCTTGGCTCAGGGTGAGAACTGAAAACACACCTCTTCCTCCTGGAAACCTCCAAGGCAATCCTTGGAGGAGAGAGAAAGTGGTGTTCTATGGTTACCCATCGTGGGTGTCCTTCCATGGAGCACAGTAACTCGAGCCTGGTAACCTCGGGCAATTATAAAGATCCTCTTCTGGGAGAAAGAATTGCCCAGTTGAAGAGGTAGAAGGAACTGTAGAGGTTATCTCATGCAAACCCCCATTTCCCAGAGAGGTCAACTGATTTGCCTGAGGTCCCTCAGCTAGTCAGTGACCAGGATTGTGACTCCCAGGCTAACAATGGAGAAGGGAACAAAAAAGATGACTTTCTGGAAGGGAGATGGGCAGTACCTCCTATCAGGAGCCAAGGTAAAAATCCAGAAGTTAGGGGCATGGAGAGAGGATGAGCTCAAGGCCAGAGAGGATGGTGGACCCCGTGAGGCAATGTCCCTCCTGCCAAAGAGCTGACAGCCCCACGCCAGGAAGTCCTGAAACCCCAGGCGTGTAAGCTCTCCCCCCAGAGTCCCTGCTTCACATGACTCCTGGAAGTAATATTGGAGAGGCAGCCTGCTGTTGGGGGAGCTCTGGGAACCAGAGGCCTGGACTTCTAGTTTGCGTCTGTCCAAATTCAGCGGGATTACCTTGTCAGAGTTCCTTCCCCTCTCTGGGCTTCAGCCTCCTGGTCCACAAAGAGAATGAGCCCCATGATCCCTCAGTTTCCTCGTCTGGTACTCTGTCTGCTTAACCCTTCTGAAGGGAGACTGAACACAGAAAAGTAGTTCCTGGGCCAGAGGCCCTGAGATTCTACAGGGACTATGGCTGGTGAGTTACCTCAGGAAACAGCCCTTGAGCTGGTATGAAGTCAGACGTGAGGCTTTCTTATATACGCGTTGAAGGAGTTACCTGCTGCTGCGTAACAAATTACCTTTGTTGGTGGCTTAAAACACCCGTGACTCGCTCGCAGTTTCTGTGAGTCATGAGTCTGGGAGCGTCTTAGCTGGGTGGTTGTGGCTCTTACATGCGGCTGCGGTCAGGACACCGGCCGGGACCACAGTCAGGTGGGCTGGGTCCAGGCTCTGCTCGTCGGGGCTCGCTCACGGGGCCTGTTGGGCCGCCTCACAATATGGCTACCAGCTGCCCTTAGCCAGGCTAAGAGAGAGCCTGAGTGAGTGCCTGAGGCAAACGCCATGGTCTATTTGTAACTTAGTCTCAGGGGTACTATCCCATCACTTCTGCCATATTCTGTTCTTCAGAAGTGACACAGTAAGCCCAGCCCACATGCATAGGAGGGAATACCAGGGGGCTGGGGCTTTTGGGGGGCATCTCAGAGGCTGCCAAGACCACACGCTTAGACGGGCATCACTTCGCCCTCATGTCAGTCTACCAGCCATGACTCCACAACCCCCCATCACGAAGGCGCAGTGAGCAAAGCTGCCCCTTCTTGACTTCACGACCTCTTTTCCCCCTTCTGGGGAAGACATACTTCTACTAAAAATTATTCATTGTTTATCTGAAATTCAAATGTAACTGCATTTCCTGTGGTTTATCTGGCAACTGTGTTCTTCATGTTTATTCTAACCAGATCCCACCAGTATAGAAATGTGTGTGCATCGGGGATGGAGGGAGTCAGGAAGGGCCTCAGGAGAAGCCAAGGTTCAAAGGTAGAACATTCACATCCCTTACCCTCTGGGTCAGGTCTGGAAAAGGGCCACTGAAAAGATGGGAAGGATACCCGGGGGGAGGCGGGGGAGGGACAGGTGCTCTTGAAGACCCTCAAAGGGATCACCTTCAAGGTCCAAGCCAGAGAGGGGCAAGGAAAAGACTATCCATTTGGCTCAGCAAAAAGCGAGCATATCCTTGAAACCAAAACACTGAGGGAGGAGCAGGTTTGGATGCTGAAGGACCGCCTCCCATGAACTTATGGGGGCGTCATGCGGGAAGCGGTATGCTTGGATTTCGAGATGGTGAGGGCGTGGTTTTGAATGATGGAGCCCCAGCTGCCTCTGAGACAAGCTGGAATGTTCCCTGCCGAGAGCAGCCCAGGTGCCTCAGAGGGCCCTGCTGGACAGACCTGTGAATGGACAGTGTGAGGCATGCCTCCGTTTCCATGAGTGCCCCAGACAGAGGTGTGGCCACCCCGTGTGAGGGCTCAAAAGCTTTGCAGTGGCTGCACGGCTCAGCCCCTGCTCCCCGACCTGTTCCCACTGGGTCAGACCCTGGGAAGGTCAGCCCGAGAGAGACTCCAGCAGCCCCCGGCTCCAGCCCCCAGAGCCTTCAAGGACCCCAGTGCTTTCTTGGTCCCATGCAATCTTCCAATGGAAGCACATCCATCCGCAGAGCAGGGGAGGTTGTGTGACTGGCAGGCCAAGAGTGGGGCAGAGAGGAAAAACAGTGAGAATTAACAGACTGTTGCTGTCAGAAAATCTGTTCAGTTTGGTTTCTGGGCCTCTGGCTTATTCCCAGGGCTCCTCCTGGGCTTCACGTGTAACATGGACTTCCCAGGGATGTTTGGCTGGAAAAGGGTCTCCTTGTGATGCTGGCCGAGCTCCGGTTTGTCCTCCAGATGCGCGAGTCCCCTGACACCTGGCCTCAGCTGAGGCCTCTCTAAGTGCCCTTGACTCACCAAGGGCAGGCGGCCCAGTCCCTCTCCTGGGGACACAGCCCCCAGAAACGCCAGTGCACAGAGCTCTGCTAAGAGCCAGACCTTGCCTCTGTGTGTTGTTTTACAGTTTACAAAGCACTTTTACTTCCATTATCTGATTGACCTCCAACAGCCACCCTGTGATGTAAGTTTCATTATCTCCTTTTTATGCCGAATGGAACAGGCTCAGAGAGGTGGAGTAGCTTGCCAAAGGTCACACAGCTCTTGCCTAGAAGAGCCTGGATTCAAACCCATTTCTCTGAACACTGAGTGGTTATCCTCATTGCATTGCGGTGACTGAGGGTCTGCGACCTCAAGATCAAATCCACTGCCACTGCTAAGCTGACTCACTGCGTGTCTGAGTTTCTCTCATAGGCCAGGGAAAATCTGGGAGGGGGAGCTGACCAGCGGGCTGGACAAGTGAAACTTTTACCCTGAGTCTTCGGAAACCACCTGGCCAAAACAAAAACACCCCACCTGGTGTAGGAGGGCAGCCAGAGATGGTGGATACATAGTGCAGAAACATGGACAAGGGGCTGCTTAAGGCACCACTCAGGAACAGATACTTTGTGGCCTCAGGCAACCCATCTTCCCTCTCTGGGCCTATGAAACCAGAAGTGACCCTAGATTGTCTCTAAACTCCTTCCCAGAGCTAAACTTCTGTGACATGCTCCTTGACGGGGCTGTGGGGCAGGCGGCGGGGGGAGGGGGGCAATGCTGGGCACCCAAAGAATTTGGCATGTCTGGTACAGAGCAGCCGTCTGGGGGGCTTAGGCCAGACCCCCGCGCTTTCAGAGATCGACACAACTGACTGCCTCCATGTGCTCGGCTTTTCTGAGGGTGAAAAGCCCCATGAGGCTCTTTCACCTGCTTCATGCGGGAGGCAGGAATCCTTGGCCAGAGCCATGAAGTGGCCCTTCGGCCCAGGACCCCTCACCTCCATGCATTTCTGTTCCTCTTGCAGAGAAGGGTCTGGACTTGTATCTCATTGTTGGTATCTGCGGAGGAGGCATCATGTTCATCATCTTTATGACACTACTCATTTTCTACATCAACAAGAGAAAAAAGCAGAACAGTAGGAGAAATGGTAAGCTCCCCCGCTTCTGTCCCACCGCAGGCCAGGGCAAAATCCCCGTGGAAACAACTCATGGGGATGACACTGTGAGTCTGGAAGGAAAATAATGGAGATGGGGAGTTTCAGAATGTCAGGGTTATAACCGGTGGTTACAGGTTTTTCCATTCTCTGGTTAGCTTGATCTTTGAAAAATAAATTCTCAGTGGTGACGGTAGGAGAGCGTTGAGAAGCCGAATCTTGGTTGGTCCCTTGGAATGCGCCACCGAAGCTGACTCGGTCGAAGCCCTGTGTGGACGTATTTTGAATGAGCCACACATCTCTACGTGGGTAGAATGATTAGCTTCGAAATGGCATCTCCATGAACAAACATTTCGTCCTCTCTGGAGGCGGGGGGTGGGGGGTGGGGTAGAGGCAGGCAAGGTGTGTTCAGAACCACGCTCCTAGAAACACAGGTAAAATTTCAGGGACCCGCAGGACACATGTGATCTAAAACCAGGGAATTATACCCCCCCTTCCAATTTGTTATTCAGAGGGGGTATGCGTGCTGGGACTGTGTCTTCCTCAAATCAGGCCTGTCCAACAACCCAGCAAGAATGAAAATGTTGTGCTTGTAAGTGGGGAGCTGGCTCAAGGAACACAGGTCTCCCAAGGCAGCGAGTTCAGATAATGGCACATCCGGTGTCTCTGTGGGCTCTGGGGGTGCTGGGACCCCATGCTGCAGGTGGGTCCAGCGGGGCACATCCGGCCACAGCAAGACATGCAGCCAGGCAAGCAGGCCCCTCAGGTTCTGTGTAATCTGACATTCACAGTAGGACTGGGTCCTCTCACTCTGGGTCTCTCCTTAGAGGGGGTATGTGATGCCCACGCCAGTGGCCTGCAGCACCACACAAACAAGGACCTGAGCTGAACCTGCCCAGCCAGGGGTGGTCTTGGACTTGGCTTCCTTACTTGAGACTTCTTACCTTGGGTCCCCTTCAGGCCACGGCTCCCAGCGCGGCACCATGTTTCCACCGCCATCTCTCCAGCCCCCTCTGCCTGCATGGAGCAGAATTGCTTGCTAGTCTCATGGGCACCCATGGCTCCCTCACGTCTGTGCCCTGCTCAGGCTGTTTTCTGTCCATGTCCCCCTGCAAAGGCCCTTTCTCCATTGCCTGATGGTCAAAGATCACATAGTCCTCCAAGCCCGTGACAAGGCAATCCCTGCTTTCAACATGATAATTAGCTCATGTTGACAAAGCAGTCAGTCACTTGGGCCAGGGACTAACCTCTGTAATATAATGCTTTGCATTCATTATTGTATCCAACTTCCCGAGTGATCTTGTGAGATAGATAATATTCATACAGATGAGAAAATTTAAGCTCAGTGAGGTTAAATGATTTCCCCCAAAATCCTATGGCCAGTGGGCTAAGTCAGGACTAGGTGATGCAAGCAAGGAGTTCTGTACAGTTTAAGGAGACCATCACCCTCAGGGTCCACCCTGCCTCGCTCAACCCTGAGAGTGAGGGACCCCTTCCATTCTGTGCCCTGGTGAGATGAGGAGGACACTGAGCCTGGAGGAATTCTGGGGAGCAGACATTTGGGCAGCGGCTGCAGTGATGGGGGGGTGGGCACGCTGCCACCCCCCAGTCCTACTCTGCCAGGCAGGCTGCTCAGAGCCACAGTTCACCTGTATGTTGTGCAAGGCAGCCTGGGGGCTTGGCCACTTGGCCGCACTTGCCTCCTCTCCGCAGAGCTCATGGGACTCTCTCTGCACCTCTCTGGTGGCTCTGGGTTCTTCCCAGAGTCTGACACTGTGGTTTGCAGTCCTGCCTCGGGTTCCTTGATTTCAGGCTTCTGGAGGGCAAGTATTGTCCTGTCACTGGCTTGTGTCTGAACCATCGCCGCTACTCGGCAGTGGCATTGAAATTGAGAAGATGGGGAAGAAATGTGTGAAGGACAAACGTACAAAATAGTGGGTGAACAGACTGCTAGGCAAATGGGCAGCCCAAGCTTGCCTTAGAGGGGATGAGAGAGGCCTCTCCAAGGCCGCACAGCTGGGACTTGGGCCCCTCAAGTCCTCTCCACAGCTTCCTGGCATGCCCTCAGCTACCTCGGGGCGCCAAAGATGGCATAGAGGATGTGTTTTTCTCACACGTAGGCGGTACGCTCAATACATATTTACATTGATCCTACCTTTCCAAGAGGACTCTCAGAGGTTTTATTATTGCAGATGAGGAGCTGGAGATAAGAACACGCAGACTAACCACCAAGGAAAGGCGCCAGAAGCCCCGCCAGGTTCCAGGATCAGCTCCTCAAAATCCAGCTGTGTCCCAACCTCCTCCACCACCTAGTCATCGGCCCCAGGTCCCTTGTCATCGGCCCCCACCTCCGAGCCACCGTGTCCAGCACCACCCACAGAAGAAGGCTCCTCCTCCATCGGCCACCAAAGTTCACCAGCAGAAAGGTCCTCCCCTCCCTAGGCCTCGAGTTCAACCAAAACCTCCCCATGGGGCCACTGAAAACTCGTAACTCTGTCTCCTGACATGGTTGTCCCCTTCTTCTATCTAAAAGAGACAGAAATTGTTCTTTCCCATAAAGGCATGATGGAGTTTCTCCACCGCGGGGGTCCGCACCTGCAATTTCATCAAATGCGTTCTGCAAGTTAGGATTATCACCTCCTGGGCATGTGGGCCATGGCCATGTCTGCATCTCCTAGCTCATTCATGTGCCCTAACACCTGGAGCCTCTGGCTTCCTCCCAAATCCTCATCATGCCAGGAAGGGCTAGCAATTCAAGTGCCAGCATCGGGATGATGGGCCACTGAGCACAAAATTCGAGAGCTCTCCTTGCTGCCCCCTCAGATCACTTGCAGACATGGGATGTCTCACCACCCCCGTGCCTCGCTGCAAGCGCCTACCTGCCCGAGTGACCCTTGGGTTTCTTATGTGCCTGGTGGACACTTGCCTACCATCTGGAGGGGAGAAGTGAAATAAAAGCTTTGATTTGACCCAGTGTCTGCTCATTGTAGAAAGAAGCCCAGCAGCAAGCTGCTGGATGAGAAAGAGGCTGGGTGGTGTGACAGCCGGATCAAATTTGGTCACCCCAGTTCATCTGGGCCACCAAATCCCCCCACCCCAGAACAACCAGAACATGCTCCCCAGGTCTCAGCTGCAAGGCTGGCCCAACAAGCTATTTGATTTGTCTGTTGAATTGAAACCTCTATGAGCACACTGTGACAAAAAGGCATCAGCAAACGGAATTTGGGTCTCACTTCCTTGACTGTTCAGACATGGTCACAATGATCTGTAGAATCATCCTTGAAAAGAAGGGAATCTGTGAATCCTGGAGGTGCCATGAGACTATCAAACAACACCAAAGGGCAGGCTGAGAGCCACCTCGGTGGCATCAAATCCCCAGTGTCTTAAATGGCCACTAGGCAAAGATCATCCCCCATCCTCAGCCAGCAGCCATGCTAGCTATACTGGGGGAAGTGGAAAAAAAAAAAAAAAACAAACAGTTTTCAGTTAAGGTTTTAAACAATAGGCGGTGAGCAGGCACCTGCTTTGAAATGTTTGGTGCCATGTTTGTGGTCCTGTCCGCCCTCCTTCTCCTGGCTTTGTGCACTTGCTAAACCTTGTCAAGATCTGGCAGGAAGCTCTGAGGTCTAAACCACAAAGTCTCTGTATACTCAGGACTTCCTGTGCGAGCTCACTGAGGGTGGAACCGTGCCTGCCTCTGAACCCCAGTGTCTATTGTGTTAGTACCCCGAGTTAATTATTAAGGATGAGGATGAATGAGCGCCCACAGCCTCCTGAAATTCAAACACAAAATTCAGCCCAGTAACCGTCATCCCAGGACCTACCTGGTGGGAGAGATGAAGGTCTTAGCACTGCCCCCTTCTCCTTCTTCGCGGCAGTCCTGAAGGATTCCATCAGCCATCCTGCCATCATGGCTCATTCCCATTCCCTTCATTAAGCCTTCCCTGGCCTCTCCAGCCCAAGCCCGGCCTTTCTTCTGAAATCCTGGGTTGCGATCACATATATTGCCTGTCACTGCGCCACAGTTCATCGTTCAGTCATTCAGCATTCGCTGAATGTCTATGTACCAGACTCTCTCCTAGGTAGAGATGGACACTGGCATCTTTGCCTACACTCAGCTTACAGTCTGGTTACAGAGCGGAGGACCAATAACCAGACAAATGAAACACAGCCTGGGAAGTAGAGGTCAGACGCAAGTACAGGAGCCCAGAGGAAGGACTTTGAATCTACATGGAGTGGGGGTGCTGGGGAAACCTGGAGGAGGCATTTGAATCGAGTCATACTAAATCAGTAGCGTTGGTGAAGTCACTGGGCAGAATCACCCGTGCAGAGGCAACAGCCTGAGCAAGGCTCATGTCAGATCCCTGTGTCCCCAGGTATGTGATTCCTCTTTCAACTACTGGGTTTCATCAACCTGAAGGTACCATCAATACGAAGGGGCAGTGGTATTTTATATGCGGTAAGAGAGAAAAAACACCCTTTGTTGCGTTATAACAAATGCTAAGATACAGTTTTTAGGCGTGATCCCATTTCTGAGATGTTAAAATGTAAAAAAAAAAAAAAAAAAAGCTTTCTAGAATCAGTGAAATCTTCCTGAGGACAATGACTATTTCTCAGTGTCGTGTACTGAAAATGTCACTAGTAACTCGACTGAATGGGTGAGGACAGCCCTGTCAAAGAAGGGCAGTGGACATGTGTAGCATCTACAGATGTAAGACATTTTCCCTCCCTGCTACAGTCTCCACTGTGAGGCGGAAAACATGGGCTTTGCTCAAGATGTGTGGTGCAGTCACCCCACGTGTCCGGTGTTGGGTGACCTGCCACTGACCCTGTCTGGAGCATAGACTTTCTGAGAAATGATCAGGTCAGCTGCACAAGAATAGACTGTGGATTAAAAAAAACTTGAAAAACAGGGGTACCTGGGTGGCTCAGTCGTTAAGCGTCTGCCTTCGGCTCAGGTCATGATCTCAGGGTCCTGGGATCGAGCCCCACACCGGGCTCCCTGCTGGGCGGGAAGCCTGCTTCTCCCTCTCCCACTCCCCCTGCTTGTGTTCCCTCTCTCGCTGTGTTTCTCTCTGTCAAATAAATAAATACAATCTTAAAAAAAAAAACAAAACTTGAAAAACAAATGGGACCCCTGTCTGGGTCAGTCAGAGGAGCTTGAGACTCTTGATCTTGGGGTCGTGAGTTTGAGCTCCATGTTGTGTGTAGAGAATCTTTAAATAAATAAAAAAATGTTAAAAAAGAATAGACTGTGGAGCTTGTCAAAGAAATAATGATTCAGGAGGTTAGGTTGGGGCCCAAGCCCCTGGGTTTTTAACGGCCTCTCTAGGTGATTCCGACAGCCATTCAAGTTGGGGAACCACAGGTCTTTGGGTCCTCAAATTATTACTCATCAGTGGCTGGCCAAACTTGAGGACTTATAAATAATACAACATTGGAAGAAAAACAGCAACAGTCCAGTTAAATAAGCCTCCGAGGGGAATTTCCAATACAAGAAAGTCCGCCAAATTGGAAAAAATATCCAGGTAGTTCGAGGGACAGGAATACCCTAGAGTGTCAGATGAAGATAAGAAAGTTTGATCTTTGGGCGCCTGGGTGGCTCAGTTGGTTAAG